TATCTTTTTTTTTTTTCCTTAACAGCTCCATAAGCTTCAGTGAAACAGCAAGAGCTGATGCAGTTCTTGGCTACCTGATTGCATTCCTGGTGCTTCTCTCCACAGTGAAACTGTGGCATCTGCTGAGGCTCAACCCTAAACTGAACATGATCACTTCAACCCTAAGGAGGGCATGGGGTGATATCTCTGGATTCATCACTATTATTGCAATCATGTTCCTTGCCTATTCCATTGCTGTGAGTACCATAGTGCTTTCTCTTGTCTGCAGTCTGCTCCCAGGTATTGTTGGGTTAAATCAACTATTTTTGAATGCCAAAAGCAACATGGCTTTGCCATGTGAAATGGAATAAAGCTGCCTATCTATATCTTAGTTCAGTGACTTGGAGCCTAAGTCTTCCATAAGTGTGAAAAAGTTAAAACATCCACTCTGTTCTTTTGCAAACTGAAATTTAGTGAAAAATCAAACACTGAGCTGAAAAATAAGGACTCTTTATGTGTAATAGATGTGACAAAGAACAAAGTACTGGAAAAAGGATTTTCTGGATAAAGCTTAAATTGTGGAGCATTCAGGAAGTGCCATTTTCTGTTTGGTTAGTTTGTAAGTGGGAAATAATTATAATTTTTACATATATAGTGGCAGGCTGAGCAGTTATAAGACATTCTCATATCCATGATAAAAGGTCTTCAAGTTAAACACATTTTGCAGCAAGGGCTCTGATCATGACACAAGACATGGCTTCTGTCCTCTGCAGGCAAACCTGATATTTGGCTGGAAGCTCTACTCTTACAAAACCCTCCTTGATTCGGCAGAGACCATGGTCAGCCTTCAGCTGGGAATCTTCAACTATGAGGAGGTACCACATCTAATTTTGAGAAATTTACAGTTGTACAATTGGCCTCTCAGGTATCAAATATGCTTTGACCCAGCAAATAGGACTTTCAATTGGTGTTAAACATTAATCTAATTTTGCAGGCTCCACAGCTCCCTAAAGCAGTCACCCTTTCTGAGTGAGACAAGGACATCAAGTGAAACCTCTTTCGTGTTCTTTTTTGACCAAGAGGAAGTTCATAATGAACCTTTCATTAAGAATCCTGCTCAAATTTCAACTAGAGCTGTTACTAATTGATTACAAAATGTTTTGAGCAATTTCCTTAGAAAGCTATAGATAGAAACGTGAAGAAACCCTGTGTTTGTTCTGAACACACCCTCTGTCTTCCAAAGAAAGGCAAGGCCTTCCACAAGGGAACTTTATGTTAATTTTTTTGTTTGTTATTCTTTATATACCACTTTTTTTAGTAAGATCTTTCAAATATTGCAATATCCTTTGAACAATTATTTGTAGATTAATTCTTGGACATCTCTGACTGTGAAGTCCTCCTTGGTAGATGTTTTTAGACCATGGATCCAATAGGATATGGGTGGCTTTGAAGATCAGTATTTTGGCACATTTTCACCTCTACATCCCACTCATATTAATAATTAAAATATACTCCTATGCTGTAGCTTATATAAAAATTAGTGTTTTGATTTTTCACAACCCTTGGTTTACAAGTGTCTCTGACAGTCTGACTGTGCTTCTTTGTAAAGCATACAGTAAAATTAATGAAATGCATACAGGGATTTCACCTATTTTGAAAGCTGAGGCATTAGAAGTTTCAGCTGTTCTGTGGATAAACAGATCTCCAGGCTTGTCAACTTTCATGTGAAACTGTCATACCATTACAATTAAATGCAAATACTTAAAACCCCCCAAAGACTGCCCATATTCATACACATATATCTAAAATATTCTGTTGTCTTTGTACTATATAATATCAACAAAGGACAATACTAGAGTAGAACATTTATATATGTGTATAGTACATATGTAATAATTGATTAGACACAGGATTTTCAAGGTGACAGACTTCTTATTGGGTCTTAACTGCTTGGATGTACGTATGTAGATAGGTATGTATGCTTTTTTGTTTGTTTATTTGATGTCTTACCTTATGCATTATACAGGTCTTGGACTACAATCCAATTTTAGGCTCCTTCTTAATTGGATCCTGCATCATTTTTATGACATTTGTGGTACTGAATCTGTTCATTTCGGTGATTCTGGTTGCTTTTAGTGAGGAGCAAAAGCATTACCAGGTTTGTTCATCTAAGCTCTCACACTTTAACATTTTTTGTTCGGTGCTTACTCAGGTATTCAACCATGGATGAAAGCCATGAAAATTCAGTCCAACTCTTAAGAAGGCAACATTTGCTCAGAAAGTACACTTCAGGTTTTTCATATTTCCACTGTCCATTCCTGTTCAGATGAGTCCCTGCTCAGATCTGATTTGTAGCCTTCTGTTCACATACTCCATCCATCAAAAAACTCTTAGGCTTGTGCTGGGCTATATTGAAATCAGTGCCAAAACTGCTACTGAAGTGTGTGAGGCTTTACAGCTCCTTTTAAAACTCTCACTGTGAGTGCCTGACCCATTCAAGCTATTGATAGTGTGGTGTGAAATCCATCTTAACACTCCAGTACTGCCCAGAATTCCTCTATGTTTTAAATAAAGTCAAGGGAGATTAAAACAAAGGATAAGGTTGATAGAATACAATATAAATCTAATTTTTCTCATTTACTTCATCTTGAAATAGTATCATTGTGTAGACCACGAGCTGTGTGGGAGCTGGAAGTGCACTCCAGGCTCCTGTAGAGAGATTTCCATGGGATTTGACAGCCAAAATTTCTGTAGTGTCCATACTCATTCGGGGCTTCTGTCTGGATAAAAGTATTGGCACAATGTTTCGTTTGGCAGTCACTCATGCTCTGCTGAAATTTGGCTTATTTCACCTCAAGCAGAGATTTTGTCTTGCAACTTACCCTGGCTTCAGCAGACTGAATCCACTTCGGGTGTGCACCTCTGAGTAAATTATTTGTTATTATTTCAGGCTTCAGAAGAAGAGGAGATTGTTGATCTAATGCTAATGAAACTCTTCAGTTTCTTTGGGATAAAATGCAAGAAGGAAGACAAGCCGGTCACTGGCGAACAACTGGAGCAACCTGTCAGTGACTGAAGGAAGACCACCCGCAAAGTCACATCGCTTGTGGGCAAATTATTTACGTGTTTGCTATCAGCTGCAGTGGTTAGTTAGGTTAGGCTATAGACTTAGGTTAATACAGCTACTGATGAAAATGGGTTTACCCAAGGGAATGGCTGGGGCTGTGTCAAGGGAGGTTTGTGTTGGATACTAGGAGAAGGTTCTTTCACCCAGAGGGTGTTCGGGCACTGGGTTCTCGGGGAATGGGCACTGCCCCAAGCCCAAGAGAGCTCATGAAGCATTTGGACAACGCTCTCAGGCCCATGTGGGATTGTTGGGGTGTCTCTGCAGGGCCAGGACTTGGATTCGATCCTTGAGGGTCCCTTCCAGCTCAGCCTGTTCCGCGATTCGGGGAGAACGACGCGCTGTTCACGCCTGAAGTACTGCTGGCACTATTCTGGAGTAATAGCTAAGAAATAGCGGTAACCCCAAGGCGAAACGTCCCACGTGCACTTGCTGTAGACTTGGCCCCTGTATTTATTTAATAAACACCGAGCGGCTGTTGCACTGTCTGGCTACATCCTCCCCGTCTGCCCCGCGGCGGCGCACGGAACATGGCGGCCGCCCTCCCTCAGGGGGCCGCGCCGCTGCCGGCGGGGCGCGGAGCCGAGCCCGGGCCGCTCCCCCGGGCCCNGGGGAGGGAGGTGCGCGGCGGGCGGGCGGGACAGCGGCCCGGTGCTGCGGGGCGCCGGTGGTGCCTGTGGAGGGTGGGCAGGGTGGGCTGGGGGGCTCGTCCCGGCCCTGCCCGCGGGGGAGCCCCCGCCAGCCGCCACTGGGTGCGCGGAGCGGCCGGAGCGCGGGTCCCGCTGGCGGCCCCGGGAGGCTGCCGTCCTCTGTCTCTCTATCCCTGCCTCCTCCGCTGCCTCCCGCCGCGCCGTGTCCCGGCGGCCCCTCGGAGCGCGATGCTGCAGCCGCCCGGAGCCCCCGGTGTCGGCGGGGCCCGCGGAGCCTCGCAAGATGCCTGAACCCCCTCACCTGCCCGGGACGCTGCTGGCACTGCCGACCCCGCTCCCACGGGAGCAGCTGCACCTCCGTTACTTGGCCAGAAAGTTTTAACCTCATCTCCACACTGCAGTTTGAGCAAAGCGGCTCAGTCCCCTCTGGTCCCAGAAGGAGGGTTCGTAGAGTGGGCCGAGCGGGGAGCGCACCAGCCTGCCCAGAATAGCGGGTCGCTTTTCCCGGGATTGCCGCTCACGAACAGCTTGGTGTTGGCTCCAAGGAGCACCAGCAGCACAAGGAGGAGCAGGGGTGGGTGGGTGGCCGAGGCAGAGCCGCAGCCGGGCACACAGACAGACCCAGGCAGGCTTGCAGGGCCCTGAGCGCTCTGGGCTGCACGAGTTTGGCTCTGGCTCCTGTGCAGCTGCAGGGGATGGACTCGTGCAGCAGTGCTTGCTGTGGTTTTGCATTTGGTGTAGTTAATTCTGAAAGCATCTTCTGCTGACAAAGCTCTCTTTGAATGGAAGTTATGCACAAAAGTCTGAAAAACAGAATCTGTGGTACTCTAGCAAATAGAAATGTTAAAAAAGTAGGCAAGAATAGGAGAATAGGCTGTAAAAGTAATGACTACCACTAAGAAGAGATCATCTGTTTCTCTCCAGACTATCTTAAACCTACCTGTTGAATTGCCTTCTGCTGCAAGTGAAAGAAATATTATTTATTGTTCATTACTTGCAAACTGAGTCAAGATCTAAGCTGTTTTTCACTATTCTGGCCAATGTATCCATTGTTTTTCTGTACACATCACTTGAAGGAATAACAGTGCTTTTGTCTGAGGCAGAGAGGAACAGTTTTGTGTGCGTCTTTGTGGAGCTGTGAGCTCACTCTTCAGGTATATCTGAAATACTTCATAGAGGCAGGTTACACTAAATGAAGGGCTGAGTTCAGAGTGTGCTAGTTAAGCTGAAACCAAAGTCCTGTTGAAATGAATGAAGCTAGAGTAAATTCAGCTGCTCTTCTGTAAAAGAATGCAGAGAGAGATGTCGTATGCATTGACATCTCATATTCCTTTAGGTTGATTTATTTAATGGGCCGACCACATAAGCTCAAAGTTCAAATTTTGAGATTACTTATTAACTGTTTTTAATTTGACCTTTACTTTATTTGCAGTGTTTTTTGTTGCATGCTCAGAATTTTAATTTTTCACTTTTTTTCTTTTGGTTTGTTGTTGTGGTTTTGTTTTTTTTTTTTCCTTTTGTCCTGCAAGAAAGTTATGTGCTCTTCTAACTGCTCAGGACATTTCACTGCTGTATTCCAAAGTAGTGTGAAAATATTCTGTTTTTTTTTAATAGCTTTGCTTTATAAACAGATTCCATACACTATTATTATCCTGAATAAAATGTGCTGCTTGGCTTCTTGTGCCTTGTGTAACATCACAAATGTTCAGCTTGAGTTTGAGATTTGTCAATTGTCATTCTCCATTCTTACAGTTCATTGCTCATTTCCAATAGAATTCCCATGGTTTAGCATCTTGACATGAAATGATTTGAGACATTTAAGACTCTGTTCATTAGAGTGTGTCATGAGATTTTTTTGTAGTTATAGAAAACAGTGCTAGGTGAAATTCTGTGCATTTTTCACTGATAATTCATAGGAAAATACTTCATGTTTACAGTTTACTCATGTTTGTTTGTGTATTATACTTGCAAACACACATATTTTTATCTGAGCTCTATAAAATTCCAGGCCCTATCAAAGACAAACAGTTTTATCTCAGACTTGCTACTCTTGAACTTTTCAGACACAAGAAGATCGCTGCAACTGAAGAAGCTTAAAGTATTGGCTGTCTGGCAAGATTTTAGCAGGTCTACAGTGGGAGCTTCTGTTTTCCTTCACGTACAATTTTAGAAAATATACAAGGATTTGCAGAAGAGTGGTTTCTCTGGTGTTTGCCTTAGAGTTCAGCCTACAGGATGAGCTTGAGAGGAGAGTTGAACTCAAAAGGAAGCTGCAGCTGTACTATTGTGGCACTTATCCCTCAGGGGGCTGTTTCAGAAGTTACCTTTTCCAGATTTTGCAACATCCCTTGCCTGACTGGATGGATGCTGCAAGTTGAAAATAAAAGATTTTTTTTTTAAGTAGGAAGGTATCTACAGGATATTATTAGAAATGAAAAAATGGACATGGCAGGCTGAAAATTCTCAGAGTAAGAAAAGTTCCAGGAACAATGTTAGCAAGAAAAATGTTGCTTGCTTCAGTTACTTCTTTTGAAGTTTCTCCATGACTTTATAAAAACAATTGCCTCTAATAAAGCTGTCTTGAATCTTCCAGATCTGAAATGTAAGAATTGTAACCTTGCTGTGAAAAGACTTAACAAGGTTTTACAGAATAACTAATGTGTTCTTCTCACAGTAACAATATTAACAGAGAGCAATTCTATTAAGTACCAGTTGTCTGTATGAGTTGCCCTATTAATTTGTCCTGTATTAATTTGCCTTAATAATGCATAGAACTGTGCCAGCTTTGCACTTTAATGAGATGCTGTAAAGTGTTTCTAGAGACACCAACACTGGCCTTCCCAGCCACAAGAAGTAGTTATCAGAAACAAACACTAAATATGTTTGAAAAGCCACTGTGCTGTCACAGACATGTATAATACACATCTAAGCTTTAGATTTGTATTTATGTTTGAAGTAGAGCTGCTCCTTCTGCTCCTGCACTTTATCAGTCTCCAGATGGTTGCACAGGGACTGATAATACTCTGAGCAGGACACCCAGCGAGCCTCTGCCCTGTCACTGAGCATGGTCTGAGCTTCTCTGGAAATTGCATGTGCTGGTTAAAATATTTTCCAAGAAAAATGAACAAACTCAGTGAAAAGCCCCACAGTTTAAGCCTGCAAATGTGTTACTGTGTTTAAGTGAGCAACGTGTCACTTTCTGAAACGTCAGGTTTGTTTCCTTGTAGCCCGCAAGTTCACAGACAAGCACGAGTGGGTATCTGTGGAAAATGGCATTGGAACAGTAGGAATCAGCAATTTTGCACAGGTATTGATCCCTCTGCCCTTGCCCACCTCTGCAATGTTTATTTATGCCTATCTCCTCTGTCCTTGCTCTTTGGACATTTCTGGGGGTGTTTTTATTGTTTTAATTGTATATATGACACAATGAGCATTATTTGTGATATTTGTGCCACCTCAGCATTCTGATAAGGTCGTAATGGCTTCAGATTGAACCTGTGGAGAGCTGACCTTGGTGAGAGACTTTGATGTCCAGGTCTAAGCCTGAGCAGTTCGTGGCTCTGTGAAGAGGACATCATGTACATTTTTAGGTCACATTTCCTCTGAACACAAAGATGGTGAAATCCCTCTGGCTAAAGAACAGTTGTGAACAGATGTACAGCATGGCATATAGTTTTTACTCTAGGACAGGAATTCCTTAGATTTTTTGTTCTCATGCAAGTACTTGATTTGGAGTAGTCACAGAAAAATTCTGGGCTGTATGTGAAACTTAAAAAGGAATGGGACAAGCTACCAATAAATGGAATTTCTCAGGACAAGCAGCATTCTGTAGTCACTGTATCAGTTCTCCCCTGAATGTAGATTTGTTAATGTATGCTCTGATGCTTTTGTTTTTCTTTTAAGGAAGCATTAGGAGACGTTGTTTACTGTAGTCTTCCAGAAGTTGGGACAAAACTGAGTAAACATGGTAAGTTTCAGTTCTAGTTGCTCATGAAGTTATTATTCTACTCATCCCCCTCTTCCTTCGCAAAGATAAATTTTCTGAAATAATATTTATGGTTCTTAAGACCATTATAAAGCTTTTGGATGCAAAATAAATTCAGGTATTTCTACAAGAGACAGCTTTAATTTTAAATTCTCACTATCAGACTGTGCTTAGCAGCAGAAAATACACGCTTTTTAAACTGTGAAGATATTGATTCAAAAATAAAGCATTAAAATATTTTTGTGATAATTTTATCTATACTTTGTTTTTAAGATATTTATACTTTGATCTGAACTTGCAAGTGTTGATTTGTAATTCTCCAGTTATGCACTTTGTGAGCTGCATGATGTGAAACTTATAATTTATATCAAGCTCTAATTTTTCTATGAATATACAGACTCATTTTACAGTAATTTTGAGGTATCAAATATGATCACAGAGTTTTTTCCTTATTGTAGTGTACAAGTTGTTACATTCTTTATCATTCAATTATGCAGCTTTTCCTGTTAAAGAAAGTGAATATTAACAGGTAGAAAGAAAAACCTTTTCCTGCATTATGGTGGAGAGCTGTCTCAGTAGTGTATGAAAAAAAAAGTCACTATTTTTAGACAATTTTAAAAAAAGAAATGAGGGTTTATGAGGGAAAGTAGAAGGCCTTTCTTCTGCCATCCTTCTCGTGGAATAGGTCCCCATCAAACTGTTTTGGCCAAATCTATTACTTTGAATGCTGACTGTTAGACAAAAGGTCTCTCTGTGTAGGATTTTAATTAACCAACTTGTAGTTTTGCTTTATTTGAAGGAATTTCATTTCCATTTAAGTTCTTCTCTTTTCTACCCATTCTGGCCTCAGTCTAATTCCAAGCTTTCCCGGAACAAGTTGTTCTCAGATCCCTTGTCCTGGTGCCTATCTACTCTTGTGACAGCTCCCTGTTCCTTCAGCCCCTGTCTTGTTTGCTTGTGGCTGAGAGCTGCTCTGGATTAACATTGCTCCAGGCACCATTTCCATAACTCCCTACAAAACAGGAAAAAGGGAAGAGCTGCTGGGTGCTTCCAGCGTGGTGCTTCTGAATACTAATGTGTGTTTTCCAGTGAGTGCAAATGTAACACTTGATAGTGTTTCTGAAGGAAAAGTGGGATTGCTGAAATTGTGGCTTTGTTGGTTTTGTAACAAAATTACAGATAAAAAGGTTTAAATTGTAAATAAAAAGCATATTTAAGTCTCTTGCAGCAAGAGCTGGGTGTTGTTCCTTCTAAGTCAATATCATATGTGCTGTGGGCTTCAGGCAAAGGATTAATCAAATGTAAGGAGTTCCTGTCCCTTCTGTAGTAGCCAGCTACTGAATTCAAGAGCCTAAACATCAAATTTATTAATGCTGATCCTTGTCATAAAGTGGGTGACTTCAATCTGTTTCCTTGCACAAGATCAAGCCGTTTCATCACTGGTTGTGTCATCACCAGAATGTCTGACTGAACAAACAGAAGTGCTTTGTGTTTTCCCCTTAGGAACATTCAGTCATATTCTCTGTTTCAGATGAGTTTGGGGCTTTGGAAAGTGTGAAAGCTGCTAGTGAACTCTACTCCCCTCTCTCAGGAGAAGTGACTGAGATTAATGCTGCCCTTGCAGATAATCCAGGCCTTGTCAATAAATCCTGTTATCAAGATGGTAAGATGTCATCTTTATCTTTGAATAATGAATACTCTGTGGATTCTTGCTACTACAAATGGCTCTGCAATTCTTGTAGGATATTAGCAATTCTTTCTAATTTCCTAACTACAGGTTGGCTTATCAAGATGACTGTGGCAAAGCCTGCTGAACTTGATGAACTGATGACCGAAGATGCCTATGAGAAATACATAAAATCCATTGAGGACTGAGCTGGAATAATGAAATAAATTCATATAAAATATCTCAGTGTAGTTTGTCATCAATTAAGGAAATACTGACTCTCCAGTTTGGACAACTTGAAAAACACCACTTAAGATGACATATACAAGACTATAAATAATTACAGTGATAAATGTGTTTCACATCTGTCTACCTGTGAGGGTTTTTTTATTCTGTCTGATTTATGTAACTGCTGATGTTATCTATAATATTTTGGGAAACAAAATTCACTTGCTGAAATATATAGTTCTGTAGATTCAATTGACATCAAATTTAATTTTAACGTGTTAATTTTGCCACAGGCACATGACTGTTCTCATGACCTGGCCTGTAGTTTTCCCTGAAATACTTTCCTATTGCTCACAAAGCACTGAAAAGCAGTTTCTTCCTAACCTACTCATTTTCTTCTTTCTTAGAGTTACAAAGATGATACCAAAAAAGGAGGAGCCATATCAACTACCTCTCTGTGTGATTTTTATTTCTTTACAGAACTTATTAATCCTTTGCTTTCCTTCTTTTTTTTTTCTTTTTACTGTGTAATCAAATAGTCCTGCCTGTGAGGCAGGAGGGATAGGGGCTCTGCCTTCCCCTTTCTGTGCTTTCTTAGTGTGCAAAGCTCCTGCAGTGATTGTTTGTCAAGGTTCTACAGTGGGTAATTTAGGCTGTATTTTGTCTAGTAAACACTACCTAAGTCACAAGTAATTAAGGAATGAATATTACATCTTTTGCCTGGCAATTGTGATTTCAGCAGAGCAGGTGCTTGGGGAAATTGTGTGATGAGCAATAATTTGACATATCCTGTATCTCTGTGTGTCTGTGTTTAAGATCAAGTAGCCAACTGCTCTAATGACATCACAGAACTGAACCCAAAACTTACCCTTTGCAAAGCAGTGAACGAAAGCAGCTGATTCCATTAGACTTAACATTTAAGGAATCCACAAATGTGAACTCAAAGTTGATGTGACATCCGATGGGAAGGTGTTGTACACACCTGCACTTCAGGAAAACACAATAGTACAGCAGAGTTTTGGTTGAAAACTTTTCCCCAAAATTTTAAAATGGTTGTTAGCAGCTAAGTACAAAATGGGAACAAACCCCAAAGATTTGGGTTGATCTAAGAGGAAGCAGGGGAATGCTTAATTCATGTAAGATGACTAAAGCAAAATTCATATTGCATTGAAAGTTCCTTCTTTTTAAAGGGATGTGAATCACTGACCTTCTAAAGTGCACGAATACACTGCTGGTAATATAGAAACCTTTCTAATGTATAAAAAAGTGTTTCTTTTATGATCTGAAGGGATGTCAAAGTAATTGCTTGGGTGGATTTTGGGTTTAAATCCTAGGAGCAAACCTTTGCTGCACAAGTCACAGATCAAAGCCCTGCCAAGAGAGAATCCACTGTGTATTCAAGATGGTTTCATCTTCTCCACAGGAGTTAAACTGCAAAATGAGTAAGAGGAAAGAGGGAGTTTGACTGTTCCAAAGGAGTTCTAATTTGGCAGTGGCTGATAAACAGAAGGCTCTTGTAAACCTAATGTAAATGTTTTAAAAACTCTCACTACTTATCCATTATTCACAGTTCCATGCAGTATTTATTGTGACAGCATTCAGGGCTCAGAGAGCTGGGGGCTGGTCCTGGCCTCTTACAAATTCCCTGCCTCTGTTTGCCTTTAACCCTTGTGCACTTCAGAAGGGAAAGGGAAAGTTTGTTTCAAATACAGTAAGTGGAGGTAGGAATCCAGGAAAATGTTTCTATTTGATACTGTTTCTTTCACCATCTTTTTTCCCACTTGGCTAAAGAGTAACAGGCCCTTCATTCTTTTCCATGTAACCCTTGTTGATCTCCCCGAAGAGGTTAGTCCAGACCGCTGTAACTCATTTTTATACAATTTTCCCTTAAAATGTTTGTATTCTTTTATTTTGATCAATAAAATAGTAATTTCTGTAATGACCTGGGGAACAACAAAATCTGAGACACCTGGTCTCTTCTCAAACTCTGCCCATTTAAACTGTATTAGCAATTTACATACATCAGTGTGGATAAATAACAACTGTGTGGGAAAAGTACCTGAAACAAAATTCAACCTCTCTTTCATGGTGTACAGGTGGAAAAGTGATGTTCTGTTGCTTACAGAGGAAGATCAAGAACATCTCTATCCGTAATTCTTTAAAAATTTTATACAACTTTAAAGTGACTTATTCCTCTTAAAAAGGGAACAATAGTACTTAAATTTTTTTTTTTTCATGTGGTTTATGCCAAGAGCTGTGGTGTTCTGCAGTTTAGGACAAATTATGTCTATTGGACCAAATATTTTTATACCTTTTTACAATTCACTCAACTACCTGAATTATGATGCAATTCATAATTGCATCATAACAATGTGTTCTCCCTTGTTTGGTGTTTGCTACCCAAGCAGAGCTCCAAGCACCTCACGACCTCACTAAGTTCAGCAGCAGCAGGAAGCTCAGGCAGACTGCAAGAGCATGAATGCAGCACTTGCTGACATGAATCCACAATGAATGTGTTTATCAACACAAAAGATGGAGTGGATGTGCATTGCCTTTGGTCTATAACACAATTTTAAATGCCTTTGTGTACATTGTTGGGAAAAACATCAAACTTGTTCACCAATGTGTGCTCCTACAGAAAATTAATAAAGGAGGTGATTTCTTACAAAAATAAGCACTTCATCTGTGACCTCTTAAGTCTTGATCTTGAGCTTAAGAACTTTACAATTACAGGGTAATTTATATACAGTATAGATTCAATATAGAGAGATTTGGTTTACAGCGAGTTATAATCCCACAACCAATAATTACATCTCTGTATCTCCTGGGGGTTAATTATATCATCACCTTTCTTTGTGCCAACACTTCCTCAGTGTTCCACAAGTACCAACCCCTTTATCTCCCCAGTTATCTATTTGACTAATAGAAGCTAAACTTGGAACTCAGTCCATATTTTATTTTCCAAGATTTTTATTGACGTCAGTCCCCAAAAGCTTGAAGACCTTACATTTTGTCTGTTTTTCAGCCAATGGGGTGCTGCATCTCTCTGTGGCCCTTGGGCTTGTAATGTATATAAATAGAAAGAATGTATTTTTTTACTTCTTACTAGAGAGAGAGGAAAAAAAATCAATGTTTTAAACTAAGACCCAAAATATGTCAAAAAACCGCCAAGGGCAGTGTAAAAGAAGGGCATATCATAAAAGAAGGGCAATGTCATCTTCACTGTCATTAAATTAGCAGTGAGACAATCTGTTAAGCAGCTCTGATTAGAAGTGCAGCAAATCTCAGTATCCAATGCTTGCCTGAACTCGTGTCTGCAGACAAGTGGCGGACTGTGGCTAAAGATCCTCTTTCCTTCACTCTGGGAATCTAAAATCTCCCCATAGAAATGGTTCCCATCACTGAGTTTTAATCTGCCAAAGTGACACAGGAAGGACACGACATCCATCTTCAGCCGAGTGAATAAATGAACTGCAGCAATCCATCAACCTCTGGGCACACGAGGCTTTTCTGCTGTGCTGTGGGGAGCTCACACAGCAAAGAGGAAAGGGAACTGCACCACCTGCACTGAATATTCCGGAGAAATGAAAGAAAACCTGGGAATATCACTGAATTATTTAATAAACACAGGTCACTTGTGGAAAAAAATGCTTCAGGTCGCAAACGGTGCTCTGACTGAAATGACTGCAATTAAAAATAGGAATTATCGCCCAAATTCACCACACGGTGGCACTTGGAGCCTTGGAGCCGGGGCAGGGAGCGCCCGGGGCTGCGGGCTCGGCACAGCTCCGGAGCCACGCACTCGCCCAGGGCTACTGCAAGGCAGCAAAACAGATGAAGACACCATTGAAAATGCTTTAAACACACAAACGCATTTCTCACAGCGCTGCATGAAACAGAGAAATTAAACCTCGTTTCATTGTACCCATCGTCATGTGACTGAGCTGATGGAAAACAGCATCCTTGGGGATTCTATTTCCAGGGACCAGGACCTCATGCCTGTAAGGCAACATTAAAACACTCTCGAGCAACTCCAACCATTGCAAATTGCCATCAAGATATGCTGCAGATGGCACAGACAAATTTTGAGAGCAGCTTAGGAGTGTCCTTGATGTAATTTTCTCCACCCTCCCCACGCTGTTTGAGGCAGTCTAAGAACAGCCCTTGGCAGGAGAATTGACTCTGTGGTATCTGGACTGCTTGGAGTTTGCCCACAATATTGATGTCTCTCTCTTCCTGACAAAGCACAATTCAGTCACTTCAGACCTGATCTATTTTAATGCGGTACAAGTATCCTACATCCTTTGCTATTAGGCTGTTTTATTTGTCATTTGTTTATAGTGTTTAATTATTTATGCTGTTGAATGTATTTTGTGTAGAGAAGCATTTAAATGCAGGTACAGCACTTGTACCTTTCTCTGCCCATGAAAGTCAATCCACAGGACAGGAGGATGAGTCTGCACTTCTCAGGACACAAGAACTTCTGCTTTCTGCCAGCACCTGCCTCCCTTCTTTACTCTGTGGGTCTGGATCAAGAGAAAATGACAGAATTAAGTGCTCTTGGCAACTTCTGGCTGTCCTGAGAAGTCCTCACTTGTGCCACAACTGGCAAGGCAAAGCCAGTGATAAAAGTGGTGTAATATCACCCTTGTACAGCTCCTTTTTCCTGCAGGAGCTGTTCATCCTCATCCACAATGATTATTATTATTATCATTAGTAGTAGTACAACTGTCTGAATATTTCACTTATTTTAACTCCTGTTATTAATAAGACTATCTACAACCCATAATTCTGATTAATCATCAGATGAATTACCATAGTCACATACTGTCCCATGGAATGGTGAACCAAAAGAAAAATTAATCCAAGAACAATGTAAAACTTCACTGAACTTCTTTATAATCTTCACTCAGAACTGTAATCTCATTACTTCAGGACCATTCAAATATAAAAGCAGTTTTAAATTCAAAACATATTCCTTACCAAAAGAAATCTAAATTACACTCTGTGATTC